GAATTTTAATATTTATTTTTTAGTTTTCGGCGGACACAACATCTTTCTTTGTATGTGGTGCTGAGGATCGAACCCGGGCCGCACGCATGCCAGGCAAGCGCGCTACCGCTTGAGCCACATCCCCAGCCCCAACGGAAATTATTTTAAAAAATCACTATATTTATTTACTTATTTTATGTGGTGCTAAGGATTGAACCTAGTGCCTCACAAGTGCTAGGCAAGTACTCTACCATTGAAACACAACACCAGCCCAAGAATTCTATTTTTTGAGACTGCAATTGAGTTAGTGTGGTAAGCATAGAGTACATTTGTGTACATGCATATGTGCATACATGTGATGCAGGATTATTATTCTTTTAATTTTTTTACATTCAATAGATTAATTATTGTTTGTATTTTTAAAATTTCTATTAAAATTGCAAACTCTTAGTGCTTTTGACCAAAAAGAGTTAGATTTTCCATCATGTTTGAATAACATGAAAAAATGTAAACATTCCACAGACTAGCTCTTAAAATCAAAAATACATATTGCTTTTACATACAAGAGTGGCTTGTTATCTTCAGGATCATCATCTTCAACTTCCAAAAGCCAGCCATACCCTCTTTGCCTCAGAAATGTAGTAGCTGTAGATTCTTTGATAAAATCTCCACCGAGGTTTAATTTGACATCTGGGGATGCTATGGAACCACTGAGATCTTAGGAGAAAAGAGGACAAATTATAAACCAAGGCAAAATATGTGAATCTTTTTTTGTTGGGCAGGGGATGRAACCAGGAATTGAACTCAGAGGCACTCGATCACTGACCCACATCCAGGTTATTTTATTCATACTACTTTGCTGATGGTTTTAGTTGTTTTACTACTTAATATTGTTGGTACATGCTTTCCTTTTTCTTTTCTGGTACTAGGGAATTGAACCCAGTGATGCTTTACCATTGAGTTACATCCCCACCCCTTTTTATTTTGAGACAAGTTCTCACTAATTGTTTTTTGAGTCTCACTAAATTATTAATGCTGGCTTCAGAGTTACAATCGTCCTCCCTTAGCCTCCCAAGTCACTGGAATTATAGGTATGCATCACTGTGCCTGGCTGTTGATGCAATTCCATATTGTAAGTAATATTAAAGTCAACTAAATTAAATCTCCTAAGACTATATAGAAAGATTAARTCTCATTTTAGCATAAACTAGTTAATTAATAGAAATTTGATTGCTGTCTGATTTCTTTTCCAGTTTGAAAAATTATAGATTCATAAGAATTTGCCAAGACAATACAAAGAGGTCATCTGTACCCTTCATCAATTTGCCCTAATGGTACCATCTCATGGAACTATCAAATTACCCTAATTTTTTTTTTTTTTTTTTTTTTTGGTACTGAGGTTGAACCCAGGGTACTCAACCACTGAGCCACATCCCTAACCCTTTTTTTATATTTTGTTTAGAGACAGGGTCTCACTGATTTGCTAAGTGCCTCACTAAATTGCTGAGGCTGGTTTTGAA